GTAGTGATACCACCTCAGAAACCCAAGGAGGGGTCGCTATGAGTTGGGTCCAACTCGATGGCTCATAACAACAACAACACACTGCACATAGTTTTGTTTTCTGGCTGTTCTGCCATGTTTTCTGTTTTTTTGTTTTTGTTTTGTGTTTAATCTTACAATCTCTGTCTTTCTGTCGTTGTGTTTGGACCATGTGCGTGTAATGTAACTACAGATAAGGTTGTGCTTACCTTTGCCACCTTAACCACTTGTTTTTCATTCATCCCTCTATTTTTTGCTCTGTTTTCCATTTCCTACTTTCCTTAGGAATTTCTGAGATTCTTTTAGGATTCTATTTTCATTGAGGAATTGGTGTGTACCTGTGACTCACTATAGGTTTTTCTGAGGCTGTTCTAGATATTGTAATGGAGAAACCTACCTTCACAGAGGTCCCTGGATGGTGCAGTCCCACCCAGCAGCCCCACAGAGGAAAGACCTGGCCGTCCACTTCCACTAAGATCCCAGTCGAGACAATCGTACATAGCAGGAGTACATGGCTGTACCATGAGTCAGGACCGACATAAGGCAACAGGTTAGCTTCTTGTTTGCTTGGTTTTTCAATTTGACAGTGTCTTCTTGGAGTTAATGTTTCTCCTCTTCAAAGGATACCCCCTGCCAGTAAGCAGTTACTGCCGACCTACCCCTCCCCAGCCCATGCCAAGCACTAATCCTTCTCTCTGTACAATGGCCTGTGCTGGAATTTCACACGCATGGGAGCACACAATATGCAACCCGTCTGTCCGGTTTCTTCCACTGGGCGTAACGCACTCAGCATTCGTCTATGTTATCAGTGGGAGTGCACTTCTTTCCATGGCTAATATTCCATTGTGCAGATAAACCACATTTGTGTATCCATTCCTTAGTGGATGGATATTTAGGTTGTCTAGTCATTGTGAGGTAGCTCTGGTGGCATAGTGCCTAAGGCATTTATTTGACTGCTATCCAGAAGGCTGGTGGTCCAAACCCACCAGCCACTCCTTGGAAGGAAGGTTGGGCAATCTACTTCCGTCGTGATACCGCCTCAGAAACCTACGGAGGAGTCCCTATGAGTCGGACCCTACTCGACAGCAGTGAGTAGTCATTGTGAATGGTGCTGTTAGAAATATTCTTGGACAAATTTCTATTTGAACACCTATCTTTAATTCTTTTGAGTGGATACCTAGGAAAGAAAATGTGGGTCATATGGGAATTTGATGTTTAGCTTTCTGAGGAATGATGAAATGGTTCCACACAGGATACCCCATTTCCCATTCCCACTGGCACTGGTTTAGTTAGGGTTATGACATGTTTGCACATGGGTCATTGTATTTCTTTGTGTGTGTGTGTGTTTATTTTATTTTTATTTATTTATTTTTATTTTAAGAGCTTGTTTACATTCAACATTATGTGTACATTTAGTTTCACTCCCCATTTACCATGTCCAACCCTGACCCAGTCTCCTCCCCTCCCTACCCTGTAACTCTCCCCCTTATCTATGCACTCCTATTGGTCCTGCATTTCCTCAGTCTGAATGTTGGTCCTCTAGTGTCCCATGGTCCATTGCTCTAAGGGATGTATTACCATAGAGTATGTGGGTGCATCATCCTGGGTTGAGTGCTCTGGGTGTACATCTTGTTAACTGTTGGGCTGAGAGCCCGCCCCTGGGGATGAGTTTTATTCCAGGTACAGAATATATTCCAGGGCCATAGTATTGGGAGTCTCACCAGATTTCATCTGACCAGTAATTCTGGTCACTATTGAGTTTTTGGATTTGTTCCACGTTTTCCCTCCCACCCTATCCAGGATCTCCAGATTTGATCCTTTCCTGAGTGGTTGGCATTGGTTGTACATGAGTCATTGTATTCCACACGTCCACTGGCACTGGTTTGGGGAGGGTTATGATGTGTTTGTACACAGGTCATTGTATTTCACATGTATCCTAGTTTGCATTTTGCTCAGCATCTTGAATGAGTAAATTCATGCCTCTCAACATATCTGTAAAATGTTCAGCTCTTTGTTTTCGTCAAATAATCTTTTTGGCATTGATCCTCTTTTAATGAGGCTCCAGTAATCTAGGTTGTCCCATAGGTCTCTAAACCCCCGTTTAATTCTTCTAATCGTTTTCCTCCCTGTTCCTCACATCACCTTCACTTTGGTCTGTGTTCAAGTCCCTGACTCATCTTTGTCATCCTCCTCCTGCCATTTAGTATCCACTGATTCCTTTTATTTCAGTTATTGCATTTTTATTTTCATTTCTAAAATTTCCACTTGTTTCTTTCCTTTTCTGTTAATAATTGAATCTTCATTTTAAAGTCTCTTCTGCCAGTTTAGCGCTGTCCACCAACTAGGGGAGCAGAAAACACTTGTTTCTGGTTATAGTTGACAATTCCATGCTGGGAACTTGTATTTCTCCATTCATTTGAAGACTGGTTGCCTTTGCTTCATGGCATTTGGTTATAAAATCTGCTTTTTATAAAGGGTTGGTCAACTCCATGTTGATTGTCTTCCCTTTGATGTCGATTTGTTTCCTGGTTCTTTGAATGACGAGTGATTTTGGGTTGTATCCTGTACAGTTTGAATACTGTAAGACACTGGGTGTTACAATCTTCTGAAGAATGTGGAGCTGTGTTTGTTGACTGGTATTTTTTTTTTTTCCCCAGCAGGTTATCAGCTTGATTACATTTTGACTCCATTTTCCAACTTGCATCTGAAATATGTAGTCTCAGTATCAGTTCCATTTTCAAAGCCTAAGCCAGTCAGGAGCTCTGGTGGCACACTCACTAAAGTATTCAGCTGCTAACCAAAAGGTCAGCAGTTCAAATCCATCA